TATACTGACAATTTAATCTTGAGATTCTCGATATCCATTTTTCGAATGTAGCTTCAACTGAATCACTCCATAAACAGAATTATGGGATTACATTATAGGGTATGATAAGAGCATTTTACAGATTTTTATAATTTCATGGCAATACTGAAAACGTCTTCTCAGTTCTCTGTTCATGATATAAGGCGCATTGGAATAGATAAAGATGTCGACAAAAAGCTAAGTAAAGTATTAATATACCGGGGAATTAAAAAACAAACAAAAAAAAAACATGCTGAATTATGCAATATGAGTCCTCCTAAATGGCAGTGAATCATAGGCAAATAATTTGACTTGTTTAACGGCAAACAACATCCAATGGTGCATTTAATACCGAAATTTAATTTTCTTGTGAGCTTTGAAGTAATAAAAGTATATGTTATTTTGCTTTCACAATTGAATATATATTAGAAGATACGCAGATTTTTGTGAGGACAGTATCATTAGGGGCCCTGATATATGTATTTAATATTGCAGCCCTACTGAAGCCATATTTTGGAACCAACCCGATTTCTTTGAGAAATCTTACTTATTATAAAAAGCAGATTGTGTGTGTGTGCGTGTGTCTGTACGTTTATATATTGGATCGGATTTCCTAAATTTTTCAACCGATTTCAACAAAACTTCACAGGACTGCGTAAAATTACCTTGTGGTGGTTCTGAAAGTGCCAAAAATTGGAAAAATACAATTGTTTTTGCACGAAATCAACTTGGAAACACGATTCTGTCGCTAGAATGAAAAGGGGACAACTCATATAGAGTTATACTTATAAAATCCAGGTTATTTGTGTGTGTTCGTTTATATATGGGATCGGATTTCCTACATTTTTCAACCGATTTCAACAAAACTTCTTTTTTTTGGCAGGTAGCGTTTCTTATTGTCTTGTACACTTTTTTCTTTATTTTTGCATTCAGAATGCTTTAAAAATTCCATTTACAAGACTTTGTTTATAATAAAATTCTATTCAATCGATAGAGTCATAACAATTGAAAACAATGTTTTTATTTGAGTTTGGGTTTGACCAATTCGTAAAAAAAATACAAAAAAACAAAAACAAATTAAGACATGCGTGCCTGTCAACCTTAAACAATAATCTTTGTCAATTTTATTTTTCAGTCTTTATGATGGTCGATACTTGATCTATCTCTTACTGTTACATCCCCGGGCAACGCCGGGCTCTACTGCTAGTTGTAGATAACCACAGGGATTAATGACATGAAAGAGTTATTTTTTCTTATTAATTGTTTGGTTGATTTTGCTTAGTGGTATATCAATCTCCATGGGTCATTTAATGCTGAAATCTAAATCTAAATAATTTGAATAATTTTATGGCTTAAAATAAATATTTTTAAAGCAATGGTATCCTACAACTACAGATAAAATATACTGTTGTACATTTTACTAAGAAATGTATTTTATTTACATTATTTGGACTATCGTCCTCATCTTTTTCGCCATATTTATTACAACGCTTCGGCCGTTGTACGCTCCAGCCTTCTTCAGGTGGTTGGAATGTCGAAGTGAACATTCTATATTTCTGGGATGAGGTATTATGTATACTATTTACATTATTCGGACTATTGTCCTCATATTTGTCACCATATTTATTACAATGTTTTGGTCGTTGTACGGTCCGGCTGTTCTAGTTCCACGTGCCATATTTAATGTATGTCAGTTATCAATTATCTCCTGTTAAATTCAATCTGAAAGTTTTACACTGCCTTAACCGGGTATTGAACTCTTTGAGTCCTCTCACTGGATTTAACCAACGCCTTTATCCACTGTGTAGATAAAGTGTAGAACAGTCTTCCCCAGTGAGCGAAATAAAGGGTTCTGTTCGACATTCCAAACACCTGAAGAAGGCCGGAGCGTACAACGGCCGAAACGTTGTAATAAATATGGCAACAATGATGAGGACGATAGTCCGAATAATTTAAATGATGTACATAGTACCTCATCACAGAAATATAGACAGATAATGAAATGTATAGTTAGTAATTTATATATATATATATATATATATATATATATATATATATATATTTATTGCTGATATTTATACTATATAAAATGTATTTTTATACTTTCATGGTATTTTCTTTTTGTTTGGGAGTTCATTATTAGCTCATAGTTGAGACCGCCTAACAAGTGATACCACCCCGATTCAGAATGGACCTGGAAGAACAGCAACTAAGATGTGGTTCCAGAAGCCTCAAAATCTTCAAAATCCCGATCTTGCTGCTGTATATACACACGACTAATAGATAAATGAAGAAGAGACTTAAGGCATAAAGTATATCGTTCAACAGAAGGAAGCATGTTAGTAACGAGGATTTATTAAGAAAAACTGAAACAAAATTGACGCTTATATTTGGCTTATATCAGAAGGTATCCCCCATAGGAAGCTCTGCCGAAGGGCAGTCTCGTCTCGGAAAACTGACTCCGTTTATACGTGGTCTGTAGGGAAATTTTGCCCGAAGCTACAGACTCGGATACCGCACTTTAAACTCGGCCTTGTGCCATATCTTGCTGCGTGGGTCAGCGGGTAATTAATTATAATTGGAATCAGAATGAGACGTTTGAAATTTCTAGGACTCATCACGAGGAAAGGGATTTCGAAGAATGTTACACTCACAAGGCCTACTGAAAACTAGAGAAACATATGGAAACAGTAAGAAACAAGCTTATGTCTAGATGCCAGAACAAGGTGATAGTGAAAAGATAAACCTTACTAAAAGACATAAAGTATCGAATTTTCTGGAAAGCCATGATTGCCCGCGTACTGAAAGGACATGATACATAGAAGAAGAGGTTTTTGGTATAACTATAGCATACTGAATAAGTTTCAGGCAAAAAGCAATGCATAGGCGCGCTTGCATGGACACATAATAAAACGGCAACCAATTAGTAACCATCAGGATTGCTTGTAACTTTTCTCGGTTACACTTAAACATAAATCAGAGTTATATGTCACCAGGACTGAGGAATCTGAGAGCCGAGTTCGAATTCCAGTCAAATGCTAATGCCCTTGGGAAAGGGATAAATACTCTTCTTCTCCCTCCATCTATGGTTAAATGACAGGACCGACTGGGTTCTACCGCAGAAAGAAATGACAACGTACCGCATGAAAAAATCTAATGTACATGATGGCCTAAGTGTGTATCACGAATGGCATATAATTGAACTGATGTCACCAGGCGACATTTACAACTTTAAAGACTTAGCAGGGAGAGCAATCATACAAACCTTGTTTTCCTAATAATTTATCCGTGTTGCAGAGTATTTCCTGGTAAGACCGGGTTATTTCCTGACACTCATCATGTGATCAGGAGCGTGGATCAGTAACCCAAAACTGATGTCATATCGGCGATCAGAGGATCATTCTCGTAGCTTCAAACTGAGGTGTTTCTGGCGACCAGAGGGAATTAAAAACGCTGACTTAAAGCCGTGTCTCTAAGATATAACTATTCCACGTTAGTGCGAAATATGCAATTGCTATAAAAGATCGGGAAACAATGAAAGAATACTGAAAAAAATTGACTGAGTTTTAAAGAAATAGTTCACTTTCTGTTCGCCTTCATTTGAAGACTGATATAATTTTTACACAAACTCAATCTTTCGTGGCTTATTTAAAGCCGAAATATATTTGTAACAATATTTTATGAGGGTATATCTTATTAAGAATGTTTTTAGAATAACAATGATATTTTGCAGATACAAGTGCTATTATTTAAGCTTCTGCTTGGGGGATCAGTTGGATTAATGCCTTTCCCAAGAGCGTAACTAAATGTAATGAATCCTAAAGGAACTAGACTCTCCAATATGTCTTTATTCGCCTCTTTCCTATGCACTAATCGTACAACCAGTTTGCTTTTCAAACTGTATTTATATCGAATTTGACAATATTAATTACGTCAGCTGTCTCCCTATTTATCATTTATATCGCATAGCCAATTAATATTAATAAGAATTTGGTCCACCTAGTTGGATAACGCCTCAGATTATTAATTACGTCAGATGTCTCCCTATTTACCATTTATAATGCGTAGCCAATTAATATTAATGAGAATTTGGTCCACCTACTGTGATGACGCCACAGATTATTAATTATATCAGCTGTCTCCCTATCACCATTTATATCACATCGGTAATTAATATTAATGAGAAATTAGTTTACCTAGGATGTTAATGCCTCAGATTATTAATTAAGTTAGCTGTCTCCCTATCACTATTTATATCATATAGCCAATTAATATTAATGAGAAATTGATCCACTTAGGATGATGATGCCTTACATAAGTAAATGTTCTCTACTGAGGGCCTCACTCTCTTATCTCAAACATCACGTCTAATTTTCAAAAACTTCTACAAAACCCTGTTTAGGGATCATCATCAGGTGCTTTGTTTGGCTTTCAGTAGACGTAAAACAACTGGAAGCTACAGGCTGCTAATTCTGTAATGCAGAGGATAGACTGACACGTGGGTGATGCAAGTTTTTGCCAAGAAATCCCTGTAAATGATACTCTCAAGGATGACACAGTGTCACTCAAACGTGTTTCATTGACGGACGAGTAAATCTTTTCACGCAACCACAGGAAAGTACCCACTATTTGCCAAATTAAGCCAAGGCGTAAAATCAGATTTTCAAATTATTCAAAATCTCTTCATTACGTCTGAATAGACTACATTTGTGCAAGTAGGTACGTTGCTTAATGAATTGATAGAAAAATGAATTAAAATTTAAGCTCATATCTCTGAATTTAAATCAGAGTAATTATTTTTACTGTTATTATTTTAATATTATCTGTACATAATAATAATAATAATAATAATAATAGTCGGCATGAAAATCTTACGGATTTCCTATTTTAATTCTCATATATATATATATATATATATATATATATATATATATATATATATATATATATATATATATATATATATAAAGAGATAGACAGACAGACGGAAAGAAAGAAAGAAAGAAAGAAAAAAGAAAGAAAGAAAGAAAGAAAAGATCGGAGCGAAAAATAATAAAAAGTAGTATGCTAGTCATATACAATAACAGTGTAAGAAAGGAATTTGATAGATTGATAGATAGATAGATAGATAGATAGATAGATAGATAGATAGATAGATAGATGAATAGATAGATATTAGAGAAAAACATCGTAAAAGTGGTAAATTAGTCATATATAAGAACCAAATATTAGAATTAGATAGATAGATAGATAGATAGATAGATAGATAGATAGATAGGTAGATAGATAGATAGATAGATAGATAATTTCCCACTGTATAGTCAACCTGAGAGAAAGAGAGAGATTTATACTTACCTAGGTAGATACACACAGAGTAAAACAGACGGATACATATAAATGCTTACATCTGTGTATAAACAAAACAACAAGTAGATAATGTAAAGTGTCAAAGCAAAATGAGATTCTATGAAAATCAAAATGTAATCGAGGCAGGGTCAACCCCCTCTTAGTTACTTCCGGTTTCATTTATCAGTAACCTTGAGTTGTCTTTCATGGAACTCGGCCAACTAACCTTTGTGCCTTTAAGCCAATTGTGAATCACAAAACGCTGCAGTACGCGATATTTTGGCCAACAAGTATCAACCAACGTCTTGTGTCAGAGGTCATTTTCAAAACTCAACCTAGCCTTCTGTTCCCCGTCGGGCCATTGGTCACCCTCGCTAATTCTGTTGCAGAATTTACTGAGAGTCAGCATTGGCTTTCCACTTCCGGTGTAGACTAATCTAGGTCGAATAGGCCTCATTTTCTCAGAATATTCACATTCCAACCGCCGCCTATCATTCATTTGACTCTCATCAAAGGCATATGCTGACAAATTTCTGTCAATAATTGGGCGCTGTCTTCGAGACATTCTTACAGGAAATCATGTATACGAAGGTAATTTACTTTTCTAGGATACATTCTTGCAGATTTTTACTTACTCAGCACATCCTTGTCCTTCGTATTGAATATATAGACAAATAAACTAGTTAAAAAAAAAAAAAGATTAAGATACGTCAATCTCATTGAAGAATAACCTACCTACCTTTAAATCATGTTTCCAAAATTTTAGAATTTAGTAATTAACTGACCAGGCAGACGAGTTTGAAATCTATGGATTTAACTACAAGTGGGCAACATCTACTCACTAGCGATATTATTGAATGTTTTAATAAACAGAATATTTAATGATAAATCAATTAATTAAAATGATGAATTATTAAAATCCTATTAAATCAAAATTAATATCAAGACTAATTTAATATTAAATTGGAATATTGTAATGAATTAATGATTTAATTATATTTCCGAAAATTAAATTACATTGAATTAATCAATGAGATATTTGCAGAATATATTTGCTAATTGTGCCAAACATGTCGACAAACCAAGAACATTATTATACTGATAAATGTTTATATTAAAAAAATGTTCTTTTCGTCGGGCTGTCATAAGATAGATCTATCGAAATAAATCGAATCCTAACCTACAAAGAAATTTGAACGCATATAATAAAATCATTAGTCATTGGCTGTTCGATACGAGAGTTCAATTCATGTATTTTAAAGTTTTTTACGTACCTTGAGGATATGCTTATCGACAGTCACTTGATTTTCTGCTCGGAAATGACTAACTACCCCAACAAAATGACTGCCTACTATTAACATTATTCGGACTATTGTTCTCATCTTTGTTGCAATATTTATTACAAAGTTTCGGCCGTTTTACGCTCCGGACTTCTCCAGGTGGTTGGAATGTCGAACTGAACACTTTATTTCGTCCACACGGGTAGATTTTTCTAGTTTCACGTGCCATGTTTAATGGGGTCATCTCCTGTTAATTCCCTTCTCCAAGGTCTCCACTTCCTTAACTGGGTATTAAACTCACACAAAAGGACACATGGCACAGTGGATAAAGGCGTTAGTTAGATCCAGTGACAGGACCCAAAGAGTGTGAGTTCAATACCCGGATAAGGCAGTGGAGATTTAACAGGCGAAAACTGATAAATGACATCCATTAAACATGGTACGTGGAAACAGACCAGTCTACCCCAGTGAGCGAAATAAAGGGTTCAGTCCGGCATTCCAACAACGTAATGAAGACCGGAGCGTACAATGGTCGAAACGTTGTAATAAATATGGCGACAAAGATGAGGACAATAGTCCGAATAATGTAAATAGTGTATATAATACTTCATCTCAGAAATATAAACAGATGTCCAGTTCGATATTCCAACCACCTGAAGAAGGCCGGAGCGTACAACGGCCGAAACTTTGTAATAAATATGTCGACAAAGATGAGGACAATAGTCCGAATAATGTAAATAGTGTACATAATACCTCCTCAGAAATATAAACAGATGTTCAGTTCGACATTCCAACCACCTGAAGAAGGCCGGGACGTACAACGGCCGAAACGTTGAAATAAATATTGCGACAAAGATGAGGACAATAGTCCAAATAATGTAAATATTGTATATAATACCTCATCTCAGAAATATAGACAGATACCAAAATGACTGCCATTTACTTACTGAATATAGTTTCACGCACGGGGAGAGTGTTCTTCTATGTTCCACGACCATTCAGGGCGTGGGCTATCATGGCTCTCCGCAACTTCCTATCTTTTGTAGCTCTCAATAAATTTTGTTTTTTTTTCGCCATCTCTCCCAATCCCTGTTCTGCTAACCATTTAGGCATGCTCGTTATATAGGTTACGGGGTGCTTACATCTGTCTCCCACTTGCCTTGAATATGTCTTGTCAGTGATAAATTATCGAAGACCTCTTTCCTTATTATGCGCTGAGAAATTTCAACTGTCTCTTTCTGATGTTAAATGTAAATGCCCTTTTTTTATCCATTTTCTCTAAAACTTCTTCATTGTTCCAAGATATGTTCAGTATCCATCTGTATTACCACATATTTGTTGCCTCTTGTCTCTTCTTCATCTGTGATGAAATTGTGAAGTATTCACTGATATAAATGTTATGTTCTCTTTTCTTTTTTTCTGATGAGATTTTTCTGTTTCTTGATTAGTTTTTAGCTTTGAATCCGGTGTTATATTGAGATTTATTTTATATTAAAATAAATTGTGGCACGTGGCCGAAAAGGGGGAGGTTTTAAGGCTGGTCATCACTAACTATCTTATACCTAGCTAATCCGATTCACGACCCATTCACTCATTACAAATTGCGCATTCACCACAAAAACTCGTCCGTCACCAATCAATCCTCCATGCACCATAATATCGCACCCTCTCAAGGGGGACCTACAAAACGCACCCTATACCAAAAATATCTGATGATTATAAGTTTTATAATTACAAATTCATGAATGAATATAATGTGAGGGGAGGGAACGAAACCCAAAACAAACTAAATATGAACGTAAAGCAAACTAAACATAACTGATATTAATTTGCCCGTCCAACCCTCAAATTCTGCCCACTGGACAAAATCAAGAAGCTCTCTCGCTAAGGGAGTGGGAAAGGAGAAAATATATATAGACATGGGAAATGTAAAAGTTGACCCAGTCGAGATGAAAAGAGGGCAAAAACAAACTGGGGTGGTTAGGAATCTCAACTTGGATCATAACAAAAGATGCAGCAGCGAGCAGGCCAGGAACAGAACTCACTCACATTAACTAGGTACGAAAAGCTTGTCTAACCTAACCAAGGGGATGGCTCCACAGGAAATCAACCCGATGTGACGTAGGTTGACCTAAAAGAGAAAATCAAAGCTAGTCCCTTTCAAACGAACCAAGCTCGCCTCTTTCACCCACCTTTCGCTGAAGACTGTCGAATGCAAGCGTTTTCTATCAGTTCTAATCTTCATCTTGAGCTGATGCTCAAAGAATCAGATCAGATTCTGATGAGAAAGACGGCTGCCTTGCAAGACTTCCTCCATTCGCGTCGTCCAAATCACCATTCGGGCCGTGGCCAACAGCGTCAGAAACACCATTCGTTTCACTCCAGAATACGGAGGCAAGACATTGCCACACACGTATGCGCGATCAATGAGCACGAGCTTTTCGGGAGCGAGACCAGCCGTCAACTCGCCGACAGGTTTCCATAAGGGGCGGACCTGGGAACAATGTTAGAAGGCGTGCGAAGCCGTTTCTTCTAAGCCAAGGTCACACCGTTCACAGTCTGTCAAATCCACCAAGCCCCATATGAAGGCCTTGTCATTGAGAGGCAGCCGATTCCGAGCCAATCGCCAGGTAAGCGAAAACTCAAGGTTACTGAGGTAATCCGCCGCTGGCACCCAAGACCAGAAAGAGATGCTCGAAATAAATATGAAAATATGCGTTCTCCGAAGAGAATCGAGCAGATATGAATGTACGAAAGAAAATCATGGAGAATTGTGGTTTAAAAACATTAAAATCGACTTTGTGACGAAATCGGTAAAAACACGTCAGGCGATATGACGGTTCCGTCTAGGATACAGGTTGAATTCCATTCGGAGAACGCATATGATCTATAATAATTTCCTGGGCATTCAGGCCGGTAAATGTTGTTGATACTGTTTATTATAAACAAAGCATTTACTTAAATATTTGTATCTATAAAAAGAACGTGCAAACATAAAAAATATCTTTAAAATAATTGTCGGTCTTTGTCCATTTTATAATATATATATATATATATATATATATATATATATATATTTATGAATCACGCGGAATGGATACTGTTACATGGTCAGTAGATCGCTCGAAGCATGAAAGGACAGTCACCAAGAAGTGTTAACTAATATATCCATATTGTCTCTTTAAATGCACTATATTCTATACTATCACTTTGCTTCAACAAACATAGCAAATCTTAAGTAATATATATATATATATATATATATATATATATATATATATATATATAAGGATATTTCACACCTCTTATACCCTTGCTACTGTCTGTTGCACTCAAGCAACCTTGGGCCTACTAAAGAGGTAACAGTAAAAAAAAAAAAAGATTATGAATTTGTAGCATAAATAATTTTTTTAGAATTCATCCGCCAAGAAGAAAGAAGAAAAATGAACGAAAATAGGCAACTAAATATTTTGATCCACAACAAATAATTGTTGAAATAAATTGATAAGAATTTGTTCATCTGTCATAGAGGAAGAAAATGTGTAACTACCTACACCGAGGCT